GTTCACCCAAAAATGAAAATTTGTTGAAAATGTCCTCACCCTCAGGTCATCCAAGATGTAGACGAGTTTGTTTCTTCATCAGAACAGATTTGGAGAAATGTAGCATTACATCACTTGCTCACCGATGGATCCTCTGCAGTGAATGGGTGCCGTCAGAATGAGAGTCCAAACAGCTGATAAAAACATCACAATAATCCATAAGTAATCCACACAACTCCAGTCCATCTGTTAACATCTTGTGAAGTGAAAAGCTGCAAGTTTGTAAGAAACAAATTCATTACGAAGACATTTTTAACTTCAAACCATTGCTTTCAGCTATAATGAGTATTAATGAGCTAAAATCCATAACATTGCTTTCTCCAGTGAATAGCAATATTATAATATGCTGTCTTTTACATGGAGTTTCTTGACTATTTGACATTTTTCAAGGGATGGGAAGTTTGTCACTATAATTTCATAATGAACCAAACACTCAATAAGTTTGAATGTAAAAAAAAAAAAAACTAACATAAATATCAGTGCATAATTAAGGATAATTATTCAACATTTATGTAATTATAAGGGAAAAAAATCCAGGAACAGCGAGTTTGTGTTCTGTCATTAGAACATCACCTAGTGCAGTTAATGGTGATTTACGGTTTAGTTTTAAATGAGGGCACACTCTCAAAAAAGGCACAAAACTGTCCCTGGAGCGACACCCTTTCAAAAGGTACTAATATGTACATTTAGGTACTACTACGCACCCTTTAGGAGTAAATAAGTCCTAAGTGTAGTCACTAAAGGACACTGTTTCTCCAGATTTTTGTTATCTAGCTTGTCCAGAAGGTGGTGTCTCTAACCTGCTTGTGCATGTGTCCACATGATGGCGTTTCAGGAAAGTACAGTAATAGTTACAGTACAGAATAATGATACTGGCCGCTCCCAGTTCAGAATGAATATCAGAGGACGCCACCTTCTGGCGGAAAAACGAATTAAAAACTTGATTGGTCACACCGCGGCAGCCAGTCACGTGGATAGTTCTCTACAATGACTAGCATTGTGCAGTTCAATAAATTAAGCTAATATGCTCTTATATACACAAGATATAGTAAACTCTTTAACACCAACCTATTTTAGATGATATAACTTGTTTTAAGTTTTTTTACCACATTTAATCAACATTTTGAGTTCACTAGTTCATTTCAGTGGTGTTGTGTGATAAATTCAATTTGATTGAAATTATGAATTATTATAGCTACAATTAGTAAAATGCTGCAAAGGGGTTTTAGATTTTAGGTTTATGTCATGTTACACTGCAGGACATGTTAAGCTTTCAAACTATTCTGACACTTCATAAAGTTATAAAGTTTTTATTTATACACATTATACATGCATTAATGCTGATAATCTTTGGTGTTTCAGAAATGTTGCTTTGGACACTATAGCTGAAATTAAATAAGTTGAAGTTTTCTTTTTTATATTTTATTGTATTTCAGCTGACATGTATTTTATTTTAAAATAACTAACTATTTATTTACTTACTCATTTGTTAGTTAGTCAGTTAGTTAGTTAACCCTGCTTTAAATATGTATTTTTTACCATCTTTTGGGTTCCTGAGTAGCAAAATGTTCAAAGACTGTATTTAACAGTTCATATATAGTTCAACCACTGTAATTTCCATATTTTACTTGAAATGGTCAATACATAGGCTACATACATACATACATTCATAAATCTCATTTTTCTTTAAATTGATAAAACCAAATGGTGAAAATATAAGAGAAAAACTATATTTTTTTCTATTTGAACAGTAAAAGTCTGCCCATTTGATTGTATTATACAAGTAGCTGTATTTTATTCTATACTATAGTGGCATTTAGAGTATATTTTAATTAGCAGGGATCTGTTTCTTATTCCCTGCATGTCAAGTATATCCAGTGAAGGAGAGTCAAGACCCCTGTGAGTCAGCAGACGTCAGCCGTTCCCCTCAGAGTCGCTATATTGATGCTCTCAGGAACCCCATTGCTTTCAATTAACCTTTCGCTTTAGACCACTGACGCACATGCAGACACGATGAGAGGAGATTTGAATGTCTCATCAAGGTTTGTTTAATAAAAAGCAATAAAATCCAACTGTAATGCTGATTAACCACAAAATCCTATATTAATGTCAAATTTGACATGTTTTGGAAATAACACAATTAAACAAGTCTCTATTTGCGGTCTTAAAGGGGTCATATGATGTTGCTAAAAATAACATTATTTTGTGTATTTGGTGTAATGAAATGTGTTTATGCGGTTTAAGGTTAAAAAAACACATTATTTTCTACATACTGTACATTATTGTTTCTCCTCTATGCCCCGCCTTTCTGAAACACGTCGATTTTTACAAAGCTCATTGGTCTGAAAAGCGAGGTGTGCTGTGATTGGCCAGCTATCCAGTGCGTTGTGATTGGCCGAATACCTCAAGCATGAGACGGAAATGTTACGCCCCTTACCATACTGTGATGATGCCCTGTCAGGCCGGAGCGACGATTCAAAAACATGAAAACCCATTATAAACGAGGCATTCGTTGCATCCAGTGGGGACATAATTATGGATTATAATGACTTATACTGTCTTTTTACGTGTTGCGTTGCATCGCGCCGTGTAAACATAAAACCTTGGTCTGCATTTGTGATCGGAGAAATGACAAACAACAAGCCATACTCTACACTGCCCAAAAAACTCGCTTTAAATATATAAAATATAAAAACTCTTTAAAAACGTACTTACAATCTGTGAGTCAGAACAGGAACGGACGGCGGGCTTGAGAACGGCGCGGCCGGGATTCGACGAAGGAGCGTCCGGAAGGACATGTGACGACTCCGGGCTGGACTCCGCTTTGTCCACGGTGAAAGCCGATCTGGCGATCCACAGCGCGAAGTTGTAGTATTTCCTCAGTAATCAACACGGATCAGCTCTAGGCATGATGAAGCGAATATCGTCCTCTTTTGAAAGGCCAAACAAAGTAGTTTCGCTTTCACAACGAATCACACAGTGCCTTCACGACATGGCGGCGGCAGCAACAATAAATTTACGCCTTTTTTCTTTGCGTGAACATTTGGGCGGTGTTATGCAAATCTTCCCACATCGTGAAGTAGACATGTGGGGGCGTGTTAGAACCAGCCGTTTTAGGTAGGCGTGGTTGACTCTTAACTTTTATAAAGAATATCTCTTTGGATTAGAGACTTTAGTCTTTGCAACTTTACAGAGCTTCGTTATGCACCAAGAGCTTGTAACACTCCAAAGAGAAAGGAAAAATTGAAATAGCATCATATGACCCCTTTAATATGGTAGGCGATAGTTATTTCGAGCTACATTTAGGGCTATGTTATTTTTTCTCTATTTGTCTCGTTCTCACTGCAGTCTATTTGTACAGCTTGCCTTTTTTGTTCTTGGTCTTTTAATAGTGCCATAAATTGTGTTCGTACAGACAGTTTTGAAGCTGCAGTGACCAAAAAGCAGCAACTGAAAGGAGAGATTTGTCACATGAAGATTTCCTTCTATAGAGTGGGGAAACTATGACGTCAGAATCCGGAAGTGTAATTCGCAGCGGGTTCCTTCGAGATTTTCCTATGGGGTTTTATAATGGGGTTTTTCGATTAATGAGTAAAATTAAGCTTGTGGTAAACATAACTTGACGATACTTTTACGTTTTGTTCTACAACGTAAATTAGACACATCCATACCCAAAACACAAATTTTGAAGGAGTTATGTTCATTTTTGAAAACGTATGTTTTTAATAAGTAACTAGATAAGAACGTTTGGACTGTAAGTGTGTGCAGTTTACATTGTAGAACAAAACGTAAAAGTATCATCAAGTTATGTTCACCACAAGCTTTATTTTACTCATTAATTGAAAAACCCCATTATAAAACCCCATAGGAAAATCTCGAAGGAACCCACAGGATGCACTTTTTCCAGGGGTTTCAGAGCAGCGTAATCGAAACTGCGTCATCAGGTAGGCGTGGCTTATTTGAGAATCTGCATAGGTCACCGATCATGCGCAGTGGGGAAAAGCCATTTACATCAAATACCTGTCCTGATCGCAGGTGTTTCGTGTGAAATACCTTTTATATTATATACATTAACTTCAGATACCTGTCCTGATCACAGGTGTTTCGTGTCAAATACCTTTTATATTATATACAGTAACTTCAGATACCTGTCCTGATCACAGGTGTTTCGTGTCAAATACCTTTTATATTATATACAGTAACTTCAGATACCTGTCCTGATTACAGGTGTTTCGTGGCAAAAATACCTTTTATATTATATACAGTAACTTCAGATACCTGTCCTGATCACAGGTGTTTCGTGTCAAATACCTTTTTTATTATATACAGTAACTTCAGATACCTGTCCTGGTCACAGGTGTTTCGTGTCAGATTACATTCATACTGTTATAACTTCAGATACCTGTCCTGATCACAGGTGTTTCATGTCAGATTACATTCATACTCTTATAACTTCAGATACCTGTCCTGATCACAGGGGTTTTGTGTCAAATACCTTTTATATACAGTAACTTCAGATACCTGTCCTGATTACAGGTGTTTCGTGTCAGATTACATTCATACTGTTATAACTTCAGATACCTGTCCTGATCATTACTGAATTACATTCACAACTGACGTTACTGCACGTTTTACATTTTTATGGTTGTTTATTTGTTTTCAAAAGTCGTTTAAATGTAAGATTATAAGACATAAAAATAACCTGTATGACTGTTTTGTCCTTCATCATCCATCGCAGACGCTTTTTTTATTCATTATCCATCGGAGCTGATCGGAAATGCCCGGCAAAAAAAAAAAACAGCATTCTGCGCATGGTCGGTGACCTCTTGGTTTCTTTTTGTTGTTTTTTTTTGAAAGGGGGCGTTTTCCCAACGCCTCTAGAAACGCCCATTTTACGTCGTGGTAATGAAACTCCTGGAATTTAGTGAATGCCGGAACCCACGGCGAATTACACTTCCGGATTCTGACGTCATAGTTCCCCCACTCTATTGTACTATCTTCAAGTGAGACTAAAATACCCTTTTGGAAATTTACTCCCAGATGGTCACTTGATTTATAGCAGCACACCTGCTGCACCTTCTGCTGATTTCATGAACCAGTCATTTCTAAACTTCTAAATCTCGTGGCAGTGATTGGTCGATCAGAGCGTTCCAGGAATAACAAAGGACATGTTCTGCTGGAAAGCCGCATGATGAACCTCATTCATACTGGTCCCAGTCATTTGGAGCACAAGGCCTTTCTTAATTAATGTATATTTGACCATGACACCTCATCTATCAGTCATATTTATTTCTGTACATTTTATTAAAACAGGAGCTGGTTTTGGTAAAAACAAACATATCCAGTGGCATCAAATGTCTATAAATGAGAAACTGGAGGGACTTAGATCATTTAAAGAAATATTAATTTC